GAAACCTTGTAATTACAAAGTTCTAAGAGAGCTTCTGTTCTAAGACCACAGTCCCTTTGTCAGCATCATCTAGATGCTTTCAGGAAAGATGATGGTCCTGGGAGACTCCACCCTGGGATGGACAGGGATGGTTGCTTTGTAGGTCATCCAAACCACTGGGGCTGAGGTGGACAAATATTTGTTGCCTGAGTGTATCTCCACTTCCTAGCTCTGAGGTACACGCAGAGTACTGACCATGATGTCACAACACCAACAGCACTGCCAGGATGGCCAACACAAATAGTTACTCTGATGATCCAGGGTCCTCCCTGCTAGTTAGGCTGCTACAAACCCACTGAGATCAAGGCTTCTGACGGCCTAAGCTAGGGTGCTAGACCAGTCAAGAGCACATAGATATCCCTAGCTGTAGCCAAGGAGGAAAAGTCCAGAGCAGGCTGGAAGAGTGAGGTAGAATGTAAGATGGTGTTGGGGAACAGAACTAGGTTGTAAGATGACATGTGGGGGTGTGGGAAGGGGATGTCAAACATGTCATGTGATTGATGCCAAGAGAATCAATGAGAGGATGGGAAGCTGTGCATACTGCAAGGTGTAAGTGCTTAGGGCTCAGGCTACAACTCATTCAGGGTGTCAGAGGCTAGACCTAGCTATTTGGTTTGAGATTAAGGTGCAGATGGGGGTAGTTGATAGCAGGAACCTGGTCAGACAGAATGAGATGCTGGAAGATACTCTGTTAATCTACCTCTTTCAGGGTCACAGAGGAGGATGTATGTCTGCCAACGCTCTCAGCTCCCCAAAAATCCAGAATGCTCTGAGTTTCTCTGGTAGAAAGGGAACATTGTGGGTCTAGTCTTGTGCATTTGTGATGTGTAGGTGTCGACTGTCCCTGGGGTGTTCTAGCTTACTGTGTTTGAAAGATGAGTAAAATACCTCCCCCATTTCCTCAAGAGATTTTGGTCAATACTATCACAAACTCCTTGGGCTCTGGTGCAGACTTTCCCTTTTACATACAGATTCAGACTCTAGAAATGAGAAAGATGACTTTCTCCCTCCCAGCCATGGGAAGAGGAAGCTGCCTGAGCTCATGCTCCAAGAATATCTCTCTAGAAGCCACAGATTTGGCCAGCACTTCAACTACTGGCAGAGTGGGTTGTCCAGCTGTCTGAGAGGCTCACATTAAGTGCTGACAATGGTAGATTAAAGTGAAAGTCGCTGCCCTACAGCGGGGAAGACAGGAAATGAGTGACTACCAAAGTCAGCAATTTATCTCAAGTCAGCCTAGGTCAGGGCCTCTGGAGGAGTTGTAATAGGCTTTGCACAGAACTCTGGATGATAATGCTGTTGAACAAGATGATGATGGATAGTAATGGTGGTGATGATGATGATGATGGTAGTGTAATGGTTAGTATTTGTTGAATACTTACTGTGTAGCAGACATTATGTTAAGTACTTTATATATATATATATATATATATATATATATATATATATATATATACATATGGAATCTCACTTAAGTATCATAGCCACCATCAAAGGTAATTATTAAACATTTTTGCTGCTTCTTTATTTTTTTATTTATTTATTTTTTGAGATTACAATTTAATTACAACATTTCTCCCCTCTCCTCCCTCCAAAGTCTCTATAGATTCTCCTCACTCTTCTTCAAATTCATGACCTCTTTTTCACTAATTATTGTTTTTAGTATATATATATGTAAATAGATATGTAAATACAACTTATTGAGCCCATGTAATGTTACTTGTAGGTATGTTTTCAGGGCTGACCATTTGGCACAAGGAAAGTCAGAAAAATTAATTGATTTGTCCAAGATTATCAGCTAGTAAGTGGCCGAGGTCAAGTTCAAATGCATTCAGTCTGACCTCAGAGCCTGAGCTCTTAGCTCTCTGCTGGAGGAACCCACTGAGAATATCTAGATTGCTTTCCCCCTTTGGTGACAAAGATGACCAAACATCCCACAATGCAACTCCAGGACTTCCTTCTGCTTGACTTGGGCTTGTGATGGAGGCTCTGGCCCATCCTGGCAAGGAAGGCATGACAATGAGAAAGGCTGTAGAGTGTAGGCTTCTCCGAATCCTTGGATCCTTTTTGACTGGACAAAAGACTCAGAGGAATAGTTCCAGTCCCGCAGAAAACATGATTCTAGTCATATTCCCAAAGGACCCGCTTGATCACATGTCCCACTTCCAATACCTGAGACAGCTCATTGTAGAAGAGGCCAGCTTCTAAAATTGTCTATCAAGTGTATTGTACCTCACAAATTTTCAGCAAGACCATGAAACACCAACACATAGAGGTCAACTGGCCCTACTTTGATCCTTAGTGACACATTATTTAAACATTTTTTCATTGTATATGTTGACTGTGAGTGGTTGCTTTGTAGGTCATCCAAACCACTGGGGCTGAGGTGTATCTCCACCATCAATACAATTTAGTATTAAATAAAGACATTAATGTATAATGAACAAGTTCCCCTTCGTATCCCATTCATGCCTAAACCCCTTAATGCCCTTAGTTCTCCAACATAGTTTTGTTTCTGCTTTCATTTCATGCAAACATGAATGATTTTATGTATCTATATACTATCTAGGAACCACAAATTAGAGAAAGCATGCTAGTTATCTTTCTGAGACTGGTCTACTTTGCCTACTATGATTAACTCCAGTTACATCCATTTCTGCAAATGATGTAACTTTGTTCTTCTTTGTGGTGGAGAAATTCATTACATTTTCCTTATTCATTCCTCTGTTGTTGGGACATCTATGTTGGTTCCATAACTGTCTCCTGTGGACAGTGGTGAAATAAACGTTGATGTAAGTATCTCAGTGATACATTGATGTGTAGCCCCGAGGGAAAGACTTAGGACTGGTACAGCTGGGTCAAATGGTAGTCTAGTTTTAGTTTAGTTTTCTTTTCAAGAAATCTCCCTATTGCTTTCCATAGTGGCTGGACTAATTTATGTGGCACCCAGCAGCATGTAAGAATTTCCTTTAGTCCAGATTCTGCCCAAAATCTGGTGGTATTTGTTTTTAAAGACTGTCTTCCCAACTTGGATGGGGTGGAATCTCAGTGTAGTTTTGACTTGCATATTTTTCTGATGGCTAGTGAGATTGAACGTGTTTTCATGTTTATTGACTATTGGTACTTCATCTGCTGAGAGCTATTCTTTTCATTATCTATACTGGGCTTTTTCTTTGGGGCCATCAACTAGCTCCCAAATCATGACACGGAGACATTGTGTAAGTTCGGCCTTAGCTTAGCTCTTTTCTGGCGAGTTCTTTTAACTTAAATTAACCTGTTTTGCTCTATCTACCCTTTGCCTCAGGGCTTTTTACTTCTCTTTCCTTCTGTGTATCTTACCGTCACTGCCTTTGCTGTGCTGTCTGCTGGTTGGCGGCTGGCTGGCTTCTTGCCCCAGGTCTGTCCCTTCTTCTCTCTTTCTTCTCTTCTCTTTTTGAGCCTAGGCTTCTACCCCTATTTATTCTCTCTGTCTTCAAGCACTGCCTATCTTTTCTCTTGCCTAGCTACTTGCCATTCAGTTCTTTATTAGATCAATCAGGTGCCTTAGGCGGGCAAGGTGAAACAGATGCAACACATTTTTACATAATTAAACACACATCCTTACATTGTTAAATGCAGCATAAACAAGAGTAACACACCTTTACACAGTTAAAGTAATATTCCACAGCATAAACAATGTAATATGTCGTTACCTAGTTAAAATAATATTCCACAACAATTATCCACTTGTTTATTAGGTTGATTTTTTTAGTTCATTGTATAGTCTAGATATTAATACTAGGTCAGGTGTATAGCTAGCAAATAATTGTCTACTATTCTAAAGGTTGTCTCTTCACTTTATTAGCTGTACCTTTTTTGTGAGAAAGCCTTTTTGTAATTTCATGAGGTCTCACTTGTTGAATATTAGTATTATTTACTAAATGAATGTAGTTTTTTTAAGATTTATTTATTTATTATGTATACAGCATGTATGACTGCAGGCCAGAAGAGGGCGCCAGATCTCATTACAGATGGTTGTGAGCCACCATGTGGGTGCTGGGAATTGAACTCAGGACCTCTGGAAGAGCAGTCAGTGCTCTTAACCTCTGAGCCATCTCTCCAGCCCATGAATGTAGTTTTATTTGGTAGGCCTTGCCCATGCCTGTATCTTAAGTTCTTTTCCCTTTATCATATACAAAGTTTCATGAATTGTATTAACACTTTTGACACATTTAGAGTTTACTTAATTTTAACATTTATTTACCCTCACCCCATGTATTTGTGGTGGTGGTGGTGGTGGTGGTGGTGGTGGTGGTGGTGGTGTGTACCATGGTACATACAGAAATGCCAGAGGGCAATTGATGGGAGATGCTTCTCTTCTTTTACCATGTATACCTGAGTCCTGGTCCCAGGTATTGGACTTGGGTCACTAGGCTTGACAGCAAGTACCTTTACTCCCTGAGCCATTTCACTGGCCCCGGAACTGGTGTACAGGGCAAGAGATAGAGATCTAGTTTCATTTTTCCATATATGGCTATCCAGTTTTCCTAGTACCAGTTGTGGAAGAGGCTGTCTTTTCTTTACTGTGTATGTTTGGCATCTTTGTAAATAAGTCATATGGCTGTAGTTGGGTGGGTTTATAAATGGGTCCTCTACTCTGTCCCATCAATGGATGTGTTTTTGTGCCAATACCATGCTATTTTTGTTGCTATGACTCTGTAGCATAACTTGAGTTGAGGTATGGTGATACAACCAGCATTGTTGTTTCCCCCCCCAGGATTGCTTTGATTATTCAGATTATTTTGTACTTCTACATGAATTTTATGTTTTCTTTTTATTTTGGTGAAGAATAGCATTGAAATTGAAACATTTTATTTTATTAAACCGGGTGGCACAAACCCATTTTCAGGCAATTACGTAATGTATTTCAAGTATGTTCTCATTCCCTAATGCCCTCCCCTTCCTTCCTCCTTCCTCCTTCCTCCTTCCATTGGTACCCACTGTTCTCCTAGACAGTTTTACATCTACTTTCATGTCATCCATGCACGTATGACTTTATGTATGTATATAGAATCCAGGACCTACAGATGATTGAAAACATGCAATATTTGTCTTTCTGAGAGTGACTTCATTTGTTTAACATGTCTATCTCCAGCTGTATCCATTTTTCTATAAAGAACATGACTTTATGTTTCACCACAGCTGAAAAATTCTCTATTGTATAAGATGAACTATAAATGGCCAGTAACCATATAGATAATGTTCAACCTCATTAACCATGAGAGATATGCACATTAAAACTACACTGAAGTCCTATCTCACCCCAGTAAGAAAAGCAGTCATTAAGAAAACAGAAAATGTTGGTCAGGATGTAGACAAAAAAGAATCCTTATATCCTGCTAGTTGAAATGTTAATTAGTTCAGCTACTATGGAAATCAGTATGGAGGTTCCTCAACAAACTAAAAATAGGCATTGAAATTCTGATGGATGCTGCATTGAGTATGTAGGCTGGTTTTGGCAATATAGTCATTTTTACAATAATAATTCTTCCAAACTATGAACATGACGGGTCTTCAAGTTTGTTCTTTAGTGTTTTAAAGTTTTCATTGTAGAGGCCTTTCACTTATTTACTTATGTTTATCCCTATGTTCTTAAATTTATAGTATTTTTATTTTTTTAAGTTATAATCACATCATTTCCTTTCTTCCTTTTCCTCCCTTCAGGCCCACTCATGTACCCCCTTTCCATCTCTCAAATTCATGGCCTCTTTTTAAAAAATTGTATACATCCCCACACCTGAAGCATACATGCAACCTGATCAGTCTGTAAAATGTTACCTGTATACATATGATCTCAGGGCTGACCATTTGGTATCAGTTAACCAACTGTGAGCTAGTTCCTCAGGAACAATGTCTCTCCCACTCTCAGCATTCCTCAGTTGATCACAGTTCTTTGTCTAGGGTTGAGGCTCCATGAGACTGACCTCTTCCATGTTAGCATGTCCATTGGGTCATCATTGTGCAGGCAGCCATGCTGGTGAGACAGAAAACTTTCTTCTCCTCTCTGGCTCTTCCAATCTTTCTGCCCCTTCTTTTGCAATATCCCATAGACTAAGGTGCAAAAATTGTGTTGTAGATGTGTCATTTGGGACAGGGCACCATACAATCTCTTGTTCTCTGCACTTTGATCTGTTGTGGTCTTCTGTAATGGTCTCTGTTTCAAAGAGAAGTTTCTTCAATGAGAAGTGAGAATTACACTTATCTGTGAGTATAAGGATAAATATTTAGAATGCAGTTAGGGATTATGTGTTTAGTAAAGTGGTGACTCTACATTCTCCTCCAAGATCCATGACTTCACTAGTCCCAGGTTGCTGGACATGTTTCCAATACTAGGAATGGTGTTTGTTGAGTGGGCCTCAAGTTGAATTAGTGATCAATAGTTGCATGCATACCTTGATGATATTCCTACAGTTAAAAACAGCAATTGTGGGTGGGATTATTTTTCTGATTTCTTTCTCAGCATGTTGATTATTGGTATATAGCATGACTGCTGATTTTTTTTATTAATTCTGTGTCCTGCCAACTCCACAGAAGTGTTTATCAGCTCTATGAGTTTTCTGGTTGTGTCTTTAAGGTCTCTTATGTGTAAAATTATATCATAAACAAATAGAGATAGCCGAACTTCTTTCTTTCCTCTTTGCATCCCTATATTCCCTTATATTGTCACTAATACTTCAAATAGTATGTTGGATAAGAGTGGATACAGTGGAAATGTTTGTCTTGTTCTTGATTTTTAATGAAAATGTTTTGTGTTTTCTCCCATTTAGTATGTTAGATAGAAGTTTGTTATATGCAATCTTTATTAGGTTGATGTATGTTCCTTCCATTCCTTGTTTTTACAGGGCTTTTATCATTAGAGACTTTTGGCTTTTATCAAAAGCCCTTCTACATCTATTGAGATAATCATATAGTTTCTATCCTTGAGTCCATTTATGTGCTATAATTACCTTAATTGATTTGCATACACTGGACCATCCCTGTGGCTCTGGAAAGGACAGATCACTTCAATAGCAATTTGTGTACTCTATTTCATTTTTCCTCCAAGAACCCATAACAATGAGTTATAAGTACTATTAGTGCGATTTTGCTGACTATGCATACAGAATAGTCAATATTTTACCCTCTCTTAAAGAAGTACCTTAAGTTTTGCTTTCAAACTATAAGAGTTAAGGTATTTTACAGCTATATCACAAGGTGGTTCAATCTTCCATATAACTATTCTTTTTTTCTTTTGAGAGTCTGACTAGGTAATCCAGTCCATCCTCACACTTGAGATTTTCTTGGCTCTGCCTCCAAATTCTAAGATTACAAGCATGCCCACAATTTCTGGCTTTTCATGTGATTTTTTAAACTCCTTTTTTTGAGACAGGGTCTTGCTATGTAGCCCAAGTTGGCCTTAAAGTCACTATGTAGTCCAAGTTAGCCTCAAACTTGTGATTATCCTGTCTAGGTCTCCTGAGTACTGTGCCCCGCTTTATATACAACTATCATTCTGGAAGTTAATGTAGCTACATACAGGAATGGTCATTTTATGGGTATATATGGGAATATTCTTTATTCCTCACTTCCACCTTGATGTTTCCCATAGATTCTCTAACTTGTTTAGCATTCTGTAGTCTAGCTCCTGCTAGTTAAGCCCATAACACTGTTGCATGTACTCTTAGTGACCTTGATCTTGGCAGGCATATGAGACAGTTTATATGTTGTCTCTAATGATTTGGTATACTAGTCAAAGACACAGCCTATCTGTTGCTAGATCATAATGACTCCTGGGGGTGGGGGTAGGGGTGAGGTGTGGTGTCAACAACACAGACACCCAGACACCAGGAGTCAGTTGAAAGCAAACAGAAAATTCATTTATTCAATAATAGGATAGGCCTTCTATACGCTTCTCCCAGCATCCAAGCTGTGTCCCAATCTGGTAGCATTGCGTGGTCATCCCTCATTGGCTAGTCATGATCAGGAACTCTGACAGTGATCAAGAACTCTGACAGTGCCTGTTGCTAGGCCCTGTTGCTAGACTCCGCATTATCAGGAACTCTGACAGCAACAAGGAACTCCGACAGCACCTGTTGCTAGGCCCTCAGGCAGACTCCAAGTTTGCTCATAAGGAATTACATTATGTGCATGCCTTGGCAACTGGTTTGAGCCAATTTCCTCGACCCTATGGGCCTGTCCTACTACAACCTATCAAAGATCCTAGCACTACCTAGAATAAAACAAGGATCAGTATAATTGTGCCTGTGCTGAGATTTTGATTAGGCACACACTGATGTACAATGTCCCTACTATCACTAGGACAGCATAGTAATCATAAACTTACCAATCATTATTGACTTTCCTCCTTCACATATGGTTCTTCTCTACACCCTTTAGTATTAGGTGTGGTCATGTGACTTACTGTGGCTCATGAAAAAAGGAGCAGAAATGGCACAAGGTCACTTCTGGGTGGAAACTGAGTCAGCTTCTTCTTTCACAGTGCCACAGTCATAGAAAACAGATTGAGTTGGAGGCACTGTGGATTTTGAATTCAGGTGATGATTATGTTCAGAGATTCAACCAACTTGGAGTGGGCAAGTGACACTAGCAAGAAATAAACAGTTTTTGTTCTAAACACTAAATTTGAGGCTTACTTGTTACTGAAACACTTCTTAACCTATTTTGATGGATAGACAACAATTCTCCTTCTCAGAGATAAAAACTTAGTAAATCAGCAAACATACAGATAATGCCTTAAGATTTCAGCTTCCCTTGTCCTTCCCATTACCCACTAATCTCAAATTAAAATTGAAAAGACTAGGAAAATCAAAGTATGGCTCCAGAATAGTAAATATAAGAAAACATTTTCTGTTTTACTTAACTCCAGACTCTTGGCATTAACCCAGGACAACTCAGAGTGTTATTCATAAACCTAGACCTAAGAGACATTTGGGAATATGAGAGGGTGGCAAGTAGAGAACAGTCTTCCATTTCTCTTTGATGACACTGTCCCTTGAAATCAGTTTCAATTACTCATAGGCCATGCAGCCAGCAGCCAATACTGGTGCTATTTGCACTTTAGCTCTTATTTTATCTCTTTTAGCTCCAGCCATCTTCTATTTTGATTTTGTCTCTCATTTCCTACTTTTTCCTTACTCTTTGCATTTGATAATTGCCTGTGCCACTCAGCTACTGACTGGCCTTTTGAAGGAACCCACTGCAGCCTTCACTAATGGATCAAATGAAACAGATACTTTGGGCCATTTGATCATCAGAGCTGCCCTATGTCTCTTGCTACAACCCATAGATTGACTTTTCTAGCCTTCTTGGACCAAGAGGAAAGAGAGAGGCTAGATAACATTCTCAGTTACTTGTCAAATACCACTCTACAAAGGCCTCAGTCTGGGAAACCCTGATGTCATCTCTGCCAGGATCACCTCTGAGCTAACCAAATTGTATACCTTGAAACCCCAAATTCTTTTCAAGAGATCGAACCTGCGAATCAGCTTCCAAAGCTTTCTAGAAGTCACTTGACTCCTTTTTATTTGGTTAGATATAGAGGTTTGGAACTTACCTTGTTTTTATAGGCTTTTTACGTGATCTGAACAACCAAGGTGGCTTTTCCGTAGAGGCAACGCTTCTGCTCCTGCACTTATTTTTCTAGGAAGCAAACTAGAGTCAGCAGAAGCTCTGCAGGAGCCTGGCAGGATGGCACAGTGGGGAAAGGGGCCTGAAGACCTGATTTGATGAAATACCTGTGTGGAAGGAGAGAACTGACTTCTACAGACTGTCCTCTGACCTTTTATACACAGGTTGTGGCAAGTGTGATGCCTGCACACACACACACACACACACACACACACACACACACACACACACACACACACACACACACACACACACCCCATAAATGAATAAACAAATGAATAAATAAACCAGTGAATAAATAAACAAGCAAAGAAAAATCTCCACAGGGTGAGAATAAGAATTTCACTGAGCTGCATCTATAGCTCACTGGTTTAACACTTGTTTCTTATCTTAGGTTCAATTACTAGTACTACCAAAAAAAAAAAAGAAAGAATTACCTACTTCAGGACTGCTTGAGACATTCAGAAGGCACTAGATAGTCACTGTCTTCAAGGATTGAGCTCTTCTTAGTGTTGCAGATCATTTGATTGTGAATCCTTCTTCTTTTGAGATATTTTGGTCCCAAAGACACTGGAGGAGCTATGTGACATGGTAAGAGTTTGTTATTGGACAGATGCTTACACAGTGAAGGTATCAGAAGATGCTTATACAGTGGTGTACTTCTTATCAGAATAGCTCCCAAACACTCAAAGAATTGGAAGAGAAAGCTTTTGTTCTACTAGAAGGCCATGGTCACCCACCCTGGGATAGCTTACAAATACCTCTGCTATTATGCTGCATTAGCAAGCCACTGCGCTCCATTCTGGGCACCAGCACTGATTTCCCAGGATTTCTTGTGTCCATAAATCTAGCTTGCACCTCATAAGGCAACATGATAGTTTATGGTTCTAGAAGGCCATAGGACTGCTGAAGTCTCACTGAGATCACTGGAGATTTTTCTGCAGGAGATGCATATCTTGTGATCCATGTGGAGCCTGACTCCCTCCCAGTGCCACAGGGCCACATAGTGTGGATGCTCTCTCCATGGTAGATAATAACCTGGAGCAAGGGATAAAATATACCATGTTGGTCAGTTATTATAATAACCCAGTTATTATCTATGCCAAATATTGCTGCCTTGTCAAGAAGGAGTCTCAATTTCATCTCCCTGGGCACATTAGGCTATCTACCACCCACAACCTGCAACTGGACGAGTCAAAGAATTGGATCACAGAAGGATACTGCTTGTTCTGCACACTGTCATACCTCCAGAACACGAAATTTGTGTCTCAGAATTCCTTGTCCAGATCATACCTTGGCCTTCTGATTAATTGTATGTTTCACTCAGGCTTCCCCTAGAGGTACAGACCACCCAGGACAACCTAGCTTGAGATAATACAGTGGGAAATTTCACTAGGTTTACGGCAGCAGGCATCAAACCCTGGCGATGGGGCTTGAGGTTTGTAGCAGCTTCATGAAAAATCTTGAAGGACAGCCCCCTATAACACAGGGTGAGCTATGACTTCTTGAGAAACACCCATTGTGCTCTACCCTCAACTGGGCACATCCTCTGGCCATAGGCTATGCCTGTTACCTTCCTGGAAATGGTCACTTAAATAATGTGCAAAGAGTTGGTTGGTAGTAATTCAAGATGGGGATCAAAGCAAACCTCTTCTAACTCTCTAAAAAGCATATGCTTTTGTGGAGACCCACAGAGAAGCTCTGTTAATTCCTTTAATTTTTTATTTTGTTTTATTTAAATTTTGTTTTGCTTATCTAGTTTTATTTTTTCATGTAATATATTTTGATCATGTTCTTGCCCTTCTCCCAGCTCCTCCACATCTCCCTATTTACTCAACTTTATGTTCTATCTCAAAAAACCCCAAGAAAAACAACCAAACAGAGAAAACAAAATCAAAACAGACAACAAATCCCAATAACCAAAAATACCCAAACAAAGTAAAATGTTCACAAAAACAGACAAACAAGCATGGATGGAGTCCATTTTGTGTTGGCCAACTCCTCTTAGACATGGGCCCTGCCCTGGAATGTGGTTGATATAGCCAGTGACACTTGGTTAGGAGCGGGACTTGGTGTCCATTTCACCTTTTCAGTGCTGAGATTTTTATAAATTAATCAATTAATTTTACATCCCAACCACAGTGTTCCCTCCCTCTTCTCCTCTCAGTCCGCACCACCACCTCTCATGTGCTTTCCCTGCTCCCCAACCCACTCCACTCCTATTCAGAAATGGGTAGACCTCCCACGAATAGCGACAAAACACGGCATATCAAGTTGTAGAAAGACTAAGCATCTCCCTATGAATTATAGCTGGGGACAAGGCAACCCTGTATGAGAAGTAGGATCCCAAAAGCCAGTAAAAGAGTCAGAGAAAGTCTCTGTTCCCTCTGTTAGGAGTCCCACAAGAAGACCAAGCTACACAACTTTAACATATATGCAGAGGGCCTAGGTCAGTTCCAGGCAGGCTCCCTGGTTGTTGGTTCAGTCTCTATGAGCGCCTATGAACCCAGGTTAGTTGATTGTGTGGGTTTTCTTGTGATGTCCTTGACCCCTCTTTTTCCTACAATTCTTCTTCCCTCTCTTCTGCAGGATTCCCTGAGCTTGGCCTAATATTTAGCTGTGGGTCTCTCCATCTGTTTCCATCAGTTACTGGATGAAGCCTCTCTGATGACAACTGGGGTAGGCACCGATCTATGAGTATAGCAGAATATCATTAAGCATCATTATGTTGATAATTTTTTTGTCCAGTTGTGTTCAGTTCTATCCTAGGTCTCAGGGCCATCCAAACTCTGGATTCTGGCCCTCCAGGCAGTGTCAGGGGCCAGCTCACTCTCATAGCATGGGTCTCAGGGTGGGCCAGTCATTGGTTGGCCATTTCCATAATCTCTGTGTCACCCTTACCCCAGCACATCTCATAGACCAGTTCAGCTGTTAAAAACTATGACACCATGAAATTCTAGGAAAAATGGATAGAACTAGAAAAAAAATCATCCTGAATGAGGCAACCCAGACCCAGAAAGACAAACATGGTATGCACTCACTTATAAGTGGATATTAACTGTAAGGTAAAGGATAACAATCTACAATCCATAGCCCCAGAGAGGCTAGGTAACAAGGAAGGCTCAAGGGGGAAGCATGGATCTCCCTGGGAAGGGGAAATAGAAGAGATTTCGTGGGTGGGCTGGGGGCGGGTAAGGATGGGGACATGAGGGATCAAGTGGGGGTGGGGTGGGAGGAGAGCACTGAAAGAGCCTACTGGAGAGGAGGTCATTTCAGGGTCAGGTAGAAACCTGGTACAAGGGAATCTCCCAGGAATCTACAAGGATGACCCCAGCTAAGACTCCTAGCAATAGGGGATATATAGCCTGACCTGGCCATCTCTTGTGACCAGGCAAGACTACCAGTGGAGGGACTGGGACCCCAACCCAGCCACATAACCTTCGACCTACAGTGCTGAAGTTTTTATCTGGTTTGAACTTGTGTAGGTCTTGTGCCCACAGAGAAACTTTGTTCATTCTTAAGAAACACAAACTAAGAAGGGCAGTTTGATTGGACAAAAATACTTACAGAATTATGGGTTCGCTCTGCAGCCTCAACATTCTTCGGTGTCATTAAATTGAGAATTCTAGGTATGAGGACAACGTGAGAGGCATTTTCTTACTTCCCATCCCTTATCGTGAAGTTCCTCCTCTAGACTTCTCTAGAGTTAAAGCCTAAAGACCTCATGGTCCACCCAAAATTGGAATTGATCCGTCTTTATTCTTTCTTCCCACAAAATAAGAGCTCAGAGTACTCATGGGAGGCAAGTTGGGGAGTGTGCTAAGATAGCATACATGTAGACTATGATGCTTGATGAGAGATTCATTCTGCCCTACAGTTAAGGTACACTGCTATTTGCTATTTTTCATGTTATGTCATGTCTTTCTTTTTAAAAGTGTGTGTGTGTGTGTGTGTGTGTGTGTGATAGAATTCTTTTATGTAAACCACGCTGACTTCGAACTCACTGTGTAGCTTATACTGGCCTCAAATTCATAGTGATTCTTCTGTTTTGCCTTCTGAGTGCTAACTAGGATTACAGGCTTGCACTACCATGCCCAACTCACTTTGCTATTTCTATATGCTTTATCTTTTCTCTCTGTTCTTTCTCTACTACTTTCTTTCTCATTAAATGTATATTTTCTAGTATATCATTAGGAGTCTTTGTTTTGTTAGTCAATTTTTACAAAGGTTTATTTTTTATGTGTATGTGGGATTTGCCTGTATGTATTTTTATGCATCACACATGTGCCTGGTTCCCAGGGAGGTCAGAAGAGGGCATCAGATCTCTGGAACTGGAGTTGTGGATAGTTGTGAGCTACCATGTGGGTGATGTGGGTGTTGGGAACCAAGCTCAGGCCCACTGGAAGAGCAGTTAGTGCTCTTAACCACTGAGCCATTTCTCTTGTCCCATATATATATATATATATATATATATATATATATATATATATATATATTCATTTTTAAAGGAAGAATCTCATTATCTTGCCAGGCTGGTCTCAAACCCCTTTTCTTAGATTTTAGATTTTTTTCTTAGATTTTAGATTTTCTTAGATTTTATTGCTGAAGAGACATGATGACCATGGCAACTCTTATAAAGGAAAACATTGAGTTGGGGTTATAGTCATGGTGGGGAGCTTGGCAGCATGGAGGCAGACATGGTGCTGGAGAAGAAGCTGAGAGTTCTACATAGGTATCTGCAAGCATCAGAAGGAAACTGTTACCACACTGTGTGTAGCTTGAACATCTGAGACCTCAAAGTCCACTCTCAGTGACACACTTCCTCCAAAAAGGCCACATCTACTCCAACAAGGCCACACTTCCCAATAGTGCCATTTCCAATGAGCCTATAGGGCCACTTTCATTCAAACTACCACATTCCACTCCCTGGCCCCCATAGGCTTATAACTATATCATAATGCAAAATTAATTTTTAAAATCAAAATCAAAAGACAGATCACATACTTCTAACACACAATGGCATAGGATATACATTACCATTTCAAAAGGGAGGAAAGGGAGTATAGTGAGAAAAAACTGGACCAAAGCAAGACTAAAAATTCAGATGGACAAACTCCAAACTCTGCATCTCCATGTCTGATGTCAAAGCAATCTTCAAATCTCCAACTCCTTTCAGCTTTTTTGACTGCAACAATTTTTTCTCTTGGACTGGCTCCACTCCCTGGTAGCAGCTCTCCTCAGCAGGTATCCCATAGCTCTTGCATCTTCAACATCTTGGGGTCTCCAAGGCAACCTAGGCTTCACCTTCAGAGCTCTATATAATGGCCTCTCTAGGCCTCTATGCAGGGTCACCCCTGACATACACCTGGCCTCACAGTGGCTTTCCCTAGTTGTGGAGGGAGATTCCATAACCTCTTTATTGTATCCTTGATTTTAAAGCCAGAACAATGTGACTGAAGCTGCCAACTTCTGCTGCTTGCTGGAGCTGTAACACACCCCTTCATTCAGTTACATCTTCACCAGCTTTCTGTTTTTCATGGTTTTCTTCACTGCCTAAGCTTCATTGTCCTTGAGCTCGATCTGTAGAACAGACTGGCCTGAGATCCACCTGCCATTGTCTCTGGAGTGCTGGGATTAAAGGTGTGCCCCACCACATCTGACTCCAAGCTTTTCTTTAGTTCCTTTTCACAAGTTGGAAGCTTAACTGGGTAGGATCTTGCCCTGAGGTCACCACTCCCTTTATTCCATTTCTTAATTTGTTTATTTCCTTGAACACAAGACTTAGCTCCATTCCACTTCCTGGTGCTCCTTTTCTCCTAAATTGTACATTTTGTATTTTTCCTTACCAGCTTACTCCTTTTCATTATAGACATGAGCTGGAGAAGGAGCTGAGAGTTCTACATCTTGATCTGCAGGAATCAGGATGAGACAGTGAGCCACTAGACCTGGTTTGAGCTTCTGAGATCACACTCCTGGTCTCAAGGAATCCTTCTACATCAGCCTCCCAAGTAAGGAGACTGCAGGCATGAGTCACTGTGTTTCACTGCATTTATTTTTTGAACCAGTTAAGAAAAAGAATGGAGTAAAATGATATTTTATACCATTTTTATATTTATCTATGTAATTGCCAGTGCTTTTTATTTCTGTGTATGGATCCAAGTTACCATCTAATTTGCTTTCTTTTCAGCTTGAAGGACTCCTTTCAGAATATCTTGTAATGTAGTTCTGCTGGCAATGAATTCTTTCAGTCTTTGTTTAATCTGGAGATATCTTTATCTCATGTTTTTAAGATATAATTTTGGATATAGATTCCTTAGTTTATGGTCTTCTTCTTCTTGCAACACATTGAATAGTGTATTACACTGTTCCTTGGATTTCTTTATGATGAGAAGTCAGGCACTCCCTTGTATATGATAAGTCACTTCTCTCTTGACTCTATCAAAATTCTGTTTTGCTTATGGAGAGAAATTTAGGAAGTCACCTAACATCAACCTCTGGTCT